GCAATTAAATTTATCTCAAAGTAAATTATGCCTCCGAAATCCAGATCATCTTGTTCCTGTGATTCAACGTCAACAATCCATGGCCTTCAAAGTCTAACCCTAATTTCTTACCAAATTCGATTGATCTTCAGCTTTTTTTAGGATTAAGCTGTGAAGATATGAAGAGTCCATCTCGTTACCAAATTATGATTCAATTTTGCATCGGCCACTCCCCTCTTCTTCTTCTTCATGGTTCCAGTCCCACGTTTTTTGCACCCTTTTGGTTAATTATTAGCTTTTTTTTTTTTTTTTTTTTTTTTAGGCAATGGTTAATATTCTCATAATTATAATTATGACAAAAGAAATTAAATTTTTATGTCTACACATACTTTAGAGTTCAAAAAGATGATATACCTTGGACTAAATAAATTTAAAGGCCAAATAAATTAAAATTTAAAATTACAAAGGTAAGTTTTTTAAATAAATAAATTGACTTATTAAATGTTGCTAGGCTTTGTCTTTTTGAAGAAAAAAAAAATTTACATTGCTTATACCCTATTAACATTTTGTTTGTATGCTTTAGTACAAAATAATTTACACATAACCATGTACAAGAAATACAAGTCAAATTTGTCTTTAATGTAAGTCATAAGTTAATAGTTAGTATAAATTTTTTTTCTCTCTTTCTTTTCTAACTTCCACTTAGTCTTAGAATTAAATGAGTAGTATTGATCTCACATTTTCTAACTTCTTTAATTTTATGCGTTCACAAAAATATTTTCTTATCACAATGTAGGTAGGTAACTTAATGAAATCTTTCCACTACAGGACATACAAAATAACTTACAGACATGTTGTTTTTCAAGTTACAGTATGGTTGCATTCACAAATTTGTTATTTTGAAATGGTTGCAAACAATACATAAATGGCAGGTATTCAAATTTAAACACATTTCTTGATTAACCATTAGGTTTTTGCCTTGTTACAATTTGCAACGTTAAAAAAAAAAAAGAAATAAAAAAAAGGAGAGAGAGAGAGAAGACAATCTAATAGACTAGTCTCTTACGGAAGTGAGGGATCTAAAAAGAACAAGATGTATGCAGTCTTATTTTCATTTTTGAATAACTAATTTTGTTAACTCAAACTTGCACCACCAAAATCAGTAACGACAAACTTCACCATTGGATTAAGCCATACTAATCCAACTCTAGTTCCCTTTCAATCTTTAATCACTAATTTATTTGTCAATCTTGCTATGCTTTAATTTGTGGGTGGAAGTATTCCATCCAAGAAGGATGAGAAGAAGGCAAGTGCTCGAGCTGGTTTGATAACTTGGAACAAAATGGCACTCCCCTAAGGTTGGTTTGGGAAGTGGGTTAGCTTTTTTGGCTATTTTAGCTATTTAGCATGGGCTAAAAAACTTGGTTTGGGAAAGATTTTTGACTTTTTTGGTTTTTTTTTTGAGAGAAAAATGTAATGATTATGGTTAGATGTGATGTTTTGTTTGTTGTGAC